TCGTCCTAGAAGCGAACCCTGTACAAGAAGAAGAATGCAACTCTCTAATCGGTACAGTCCTCGTCTGAAAGCGCTTTGTCCAGCTTAACGAATTGAAGGTCTGAGGGCGTAGCAAGTAATTCCGATGAAAGCCGGTACAAGACTACACTGGCACAGATGTAGCCGGCGGGAAGAGGCCGAACGTTGGGGACTTTGGGTTGGGCTTTTTGTTTTTTGGGCCAAAGGGTTAGGTTTGTATGAACGGTTTTCGGTTTCTTATCTTGAGCCGTCAATGTTTATTTATTTTATTTAATTTTTAGTGAGAGCCATCAATGTAAAATTAATTTTATAAATTGCAGCATTTTTACAGTTTTGAGGAAAAAATATTATGTAATCCAAACTGTATTAGACTATGATAATTGAGGTCTTTTTTATTTAATGATCATTGTTTTATTTTACAATTTAATATAATTTAATCTATTTTTTTTTAGATCATTTTTTATACTACTATAATTGAACAATTACGTTTCAAAGAAAAAAATTCAAATTTTTTAATCCATTTTCTTTTATTAAGACTTGATTGTAAAAATAAATATAAGAGAAATTCTTTTAAACTAGATATATCAAAAATCTTTTATTATCTTTTTAAGAGTTATTTTTTTAAATTATTTTCTATACTTAATTACATATATTAACATGTGTGGATTAAAATGTGATTTGATGAGACCATACAGTAAATTCAATAAATGACACTCGTTTTAAATCCATGCCAATTCTATTTTTTTGTTTGGGATAATAAGACCTCTATCTCTAGCTTTAGGATATACGTTGCTTTTCAAATTTCAGTCCCCCAACAACCACAAATTCAATCTAATATCTTAACTTTCATCTTCCATGCCATTTCCATCCAAAAGTTTCAAGACAAAACAGAACATGTACAGAGAGAAAGAGGGGCTTGGCTTTGGTTGATTCTTCTTTTCTCTCCTATCCATAAAAGGGTTTTCTTTGATAAAAACATCAAAGTCTGAATTGTGTTCAGAGTGTTCAAGCTTTGTGCTATCCACAAATGAAAAAAGAGAATGTTCAAAACTAAATATAATGGGAAGGTCCGACCAAATCCCCCACCAAAAATACTCCAAAGGCATATCAGCAGCCCTCTACGACAAGCCGACACACAACACACCCAGTCTTTTATTCTCCTTAAAGAAACACTTCCAAATGCTACCTTCCACATCTCTTCAGATTTTGCTCCTGACCATTTTCTTCCCTGGACGTACTTTCACCCATTCACATGGCCACATATCTCTGCCTTGTTACACATTGCAGTTCAGCTGCCTTTGTTTTCCAACTTTTAGTCATACAGAATCAAATAGCCAGAATGAATGAATTAAAATAATCATCTTTAAGTCCTAGCTATGTCCTTTATATATGTGCATATGCGTATGAGGTCTCATTAAAGAGTGCTTGAATCAATCCCATTGAGGTTCCTCTTCATCTTCCAATGAGTGAAGATAGACAGATTGATCCAGCAATCGTTCATCCATCCATTGCTCTTCTGCAAGAAAGGTTCAGACAGTTGGAGAGAGCTAAGGAGATAAGGCAAGAGAAAGAGCTCTTACGGATGTTGCCTGAATCAAGGCAGATCAATGCAGCTATGCCTTACGTGCCATGCAGATCACTTTTCCACCCTATACTCATGCTTCAGTCAGAGCTGCCTCTTCAGTGTATCAAAAGAGAAGCCAATCTGCAAAGCAGGAATACCCAGGTTCAGGCCATTCAGACTCCAATATTGGAGAATTTATGGTCCGGAGACACTGTCATATGCACAACTGACCATAATGATATTTCAGATGTTGATGCTACATCTGTGAACAAGTTTAACAATGTTAGTTTATCTAGTAATCCTGTGGTTTCCTTCTGTTTCTTCTTCATGGTGCAGTAAGAATATGGGAAAGGAAAAAAAAAGGAGCTAAAGAAAAAGAAAACAGAATATGCAATGTAGCTAATTTCCATTAGCTTATGTATCTTCAGCAACTACATAGCGATCAGAAAGGCAATTCTCTTCTCTCTTTCGAAATGCATTCTCAGCATAGGTAATGTTATCCAATTTGTCACCATTCCCTTTCCTCTTCATGATTTTGGGAATCAATTGAGTTACTTCTTTGGCCTCTGACATTGTTTCCCTTTGTTTATCTGTGCAAAACAAACAGCACTAACCTTTCAGGCATTTGCAGCTAATACCTGCACCAGGGACAACATTTCCCTCACATTAATTAATTATTCAATTGGATGCTCAAGATTCAGTCTCATTAGCCTATATAGTTATCACATGTATAATTTATTTTCCAGAAAAAATGTTTAAACTTGAATGTCACGCAAAAATGGAGCATGTGAGTTATTATTATCAGTTGCTAAGTTTAATTTAGCAAACTGAGCCACCAAATGAAGCATCTAATAGGATGAGCAATATAAAAGCAGATTCCTCCATGAACAAATGCATGCCCTCATAATAGCATTCATTTCAGAAAGTTACACATGGAAGAGACTACATGATTGCCTTCACATCTTGATGATTGGATCCATCTTCATCGTGCTTATCATCATCATCATCATCATCTTGATTATCCCTTTCAAGGACAACTTTGATGCTCTCACTAGCTTTAGGGATGTATCCAAATCCTTCGCATAAAAAACCAGATACTGTCTCATACTGATGTTCCTATAGAACAGCATGGTGAACAAAGAAATGATGAATAGAGCTATGAAATTTACAAGTTAAGGACACTTTGATAGTTATTTACAATGTGAGGCTAACTGAGCCTTTACTTCAAAATGAATTCAATACCACATTCCGCTTTTAACTATTTACTTTATCCTCCCCTTTTTCTTTTTCATTTTTTTTTTTCAGTTTTTCATTCTTTTTCAAGCAGTGGTCACTTAATCTTTAAGGCATAATAATCCCACAATA